TTTTATATACTGTCACAATGACTATCATCATTCTTCCTAACTTCTTTTTTACATCTTCTATTATAAATTTAGCCCACCAGCGGCCGAGCGGTAAAGTCGCTGAACACTGGTAGTTCTGTCCGAGGTTCGAATCCCGCGAACGGGCTGGATGCATGGGTGTTTTCGTGGTTTTCCCCATGTGTAACGTGTATACGAGTCAGTTTCCCTTAGAAAGTCCTCCACGAAGGCATCCCTCCCCTTAGGCAGATAGCCCTAGTGCGCTTTGCCATAATTAAATACACACACATACACACACTATTATAAATTTAAAATACAGTAATGTAACTTACTTGTTTTCTAGTTTACCTCAAGTACGCTATGTCCTCCACAAATCTTAATACTCTTGATTTTGAGCGCAGGTTTCTTTTCAGCACATGGAAGCTTTTATGAAAATTGAATTACTGAAAAATATGTAAGTATATTCGAAAAGCATAAAGCTTTCGTCTTTTTTTTTTTTTTTTTTTTTTTTTTTTTTTTTTTTTTTTCATGGCTATATTTTGTAAATTAGTTTCACCGTTATTTTCACGCATATCAGTAAGTGAAAACTACAGGGAGTTGTTTTTCCTTGAAGTCTCTTCTATCTTGTCACTGTGTCAAGCAACGCCTCTGATTTTTCTACTTATCTCACACTGCACAGGAACTTCCTAGACGAAATAATCACTTCGTTGCTTGAATCCTAAGTACAATTTGCAAGAAAAATGAAGTGTTTCCTGCAAAAATATCTGTAAATATAATTTTGCCTGTTAGTGAGATAAGGCACGTTACTGCAATAAAGGAAAGTCTGAAAATTGAAAAATCAGTTTACTTAAGCTTGCTTAGGAAAACTTTTTTAAAAATCGAAACAATTCTTAAAATATAATGTATGTTTAAGAAAATTTGTGTATGTGTCTAATTTTTCATGAGCAGACTCTAAAAATTAAGGCAAATGGGTTGTTTAAAATTAGGTGAACGATACTGAGATAATAGATTGAGGTAGATACTAGTTGAAAGATATTCAAACAATATTTAAAATGGTGCACTCATTTTTAAATCAATTGAAATATTTTCAAAAGAATTCACTAATTAAAAAATATCCTGATGTTTTATAGATTAATACTGATTTACTATTTCGACACGGTATAGAAATTTAATTGAAAAATAAGCAAAGATTTCGAAAAGGGAATGGTTCCACAGCAAGTTGTCATATGGTTTGACATTTTATACAGTGAATATTCGACTAGTTCTTAATTTAATATATTTAAATTGTAGTTAAATGAATTGATTTCTTTAGAAGTAACATGGTTTCTTCCAATGAAAATATGGTTCGTATTCAAAAGGTTAGGTTAGGTTATTTAATTACGGTAAAGCCTCGAGGGCTATCTGCCTAAGGGGAGGGATGCCTTCGAGGGGAACTTTCTAAGGAAAACTGGCTCGTATACACTTTACACATGGTGAAAACCACGAAAACACCCATGCAGCCAGTCCGTTTGTGGGATTCGAACCTCGGTCCGAACTACCAGTGTTCAGCGACTTTACCGCTCAGCCGCTGGTGGTCTCGTATTCAGAAAGAGTAAAAAAAAAGCAAAAACACATTTGCTACCAGGCAGATTCTAGGCTTAGAAGAGAAATTCTAATTCGGCAGTTAAATATTAAAATGCAATGTAAAAACATTAATATGTAATACAGATAAAAAGAATGCAATTAAGAAATAATAAAGTAATTAGGAACGTGCTATTAACCTTTTGTTAACCAAAGTAAATTTAAAAAAAAAATCGAATAATACAAGCAATCTTTATTATTAAGTTTGATTTCCTAGCATATTTGAAGATAACTAAATATTTATTTGGAACAAACATAATAAGTATTTTACACAGAATCATAGGCTTGAATTTTTTAACTGATTTTTTTAAAAACACCCAGTACAATTTTAGGAACAGATTATGCATCAAAAGGAAGAAATGTACCAAAACATAATAGCACTTCAGTCGCCTCAAACATATGCTGCAACCATCAAGATACGACCTTAAATGTTTACATTAATTTATGATTACATTGTTTATGGTTTACATTTGTTCATTGGTTCTGGTTCTCCCCTATCATTATCACCTATCGATTCTACAAAATCAAATCTGTTAATCATAGTTGATAGTAGAAATCGTTAAAACTAATACTATTTGAGGGAGGCGGCTATAAGGTGCCTATCCTTCAAAAAGCAAATATGTATCATTTTTTGGGCCAGAAATATATCACTTAAGTATATGAAATAAAATTAATGAATAACGAAAATGGAAGCAGCAGTCAGAATGCTATGTATGGAGCAAAACGAGGGAGCAGAAATCAAAAGAATCAGAAACTATGACATAAATTTCTTACAAGCATCGGGAATAAATGGATAAGAATTATTATCATTACCTAAACGTCAGAAATGTTGGTGGAGGGGGAAAGCATCAAGGAAATCCTGTTTACAACGTGAAGAAATCCTTTGAGTTAAAGGTATGAATAAGAGACCAGCAATGATTAGTTATGAAAGATTTATTCATTTTTCCTCTTCATACATATGATTCATGTCCTTTGATGCAAAATTTTAATGCTCTGTTATTTTACCAGATAAATTTTAAAATACACTGACCGGTAATATTATCAATTCCCCAAAATTAAATTTTTAATACGACTTTTAGGGACAGATCAGAGAATTTTATAAATAGAAGAAACAAACTGTAGGGAAGCTGAACTTATGAAGAATTGCAGAAAAATTTTATCTGGTAGAAGACAGGAACCAAATGAAAATAAGAAAAAAGATTATTATATTATTTTTCATAAGAAAATATTCTTTAGAACGGTAAGAAAAGGTTTTCTTCAGATGAAGTAATTGCTTTGGAAAACGAAGTGAATCTGATTTAGAAGAACTTTCGTAACTTTAGAGAGAGAGAGAGAAATTAACTTCTCAGTATTTGACAGAAATGGTATTGTCGAAGTCTGATTAGATCCAAACGGTGGCCGAATCTATGCTAAAAGTAAGCTAAATACTATTCTATAGACTTTACTATAGACTCTACTATAGAGTATTCTCTACGTTACAGTGAACCATTGAGAAGAAAAAAATAAAAGCCCAGTTTTCTTTCTCTCTCTTTGGCACTTGTATATTGCATACATATTGATTTTAAAATTAATGTATTATTATAAATAAAAACATCGTAATATAATACGAAATATTTATAGAATTAAAGGAATTTCGAATCGTAATATACTCGTACATCAGTACATCGAGCTTTTTAAAACGTGATACACCAAACAATGAACTCTATTTCGTTATTTCAAACACCAGTGACATATTTTCTGAAAATATTAACTGTAGATGAGCCTTAACTTAAGATTTTTCATTATACAAATATAGTTCCTTTCATTTTAACTTTATGGATTAAATATCTTAATAATTTTCATTCGTTGCAATTTTGCATAATCTATGAAGGCATTCATTAGTAAAATATTTTCTAGCTGTACGCTTCTTTTTCATTTATAGATCTCAAAGCGCAAGCATAATAATAATTTAATGTGCATAATGTATGATATGCAATGGTATATCAACTTTAGATTTATCAGTGACATATGACAAAGATCTAAATTAAAATTGAACGTTTTTTGGAATTATACCCTCTCGACTCTAAAGAGGCGAAATAGGTTGTTTCTGTTGATCTTGTCCAATTATTTATTTTTAGATTTCTATCATAAACATATAAGACATTTCTTCCGTTTTCTTAGCATGCCTTCGTGGTGTAATGGTCAGCACACTCGGCGCGTATTGGAGAGGTTCGAGTCCCAGCAAGGGTATTGCTCATTTTTCAAGTTTACTGTTCAAAATAACCTAATGTCTCTACAAACGTTTCATGCGGTGTAAGGCGACGTGATATTCGTGGAAGCATGCTCCAAAGTATTACAAATATGCTGATGGTCAGATTTTCTAGTTTTATGATAGGATAAAATAAACGTGTAAAACTAATTAAATCGCGCTCTGTGGGATTTGCATGTTTTCCGTATTCTATAGCTTTCAGTTTAGACAAATTTTGTTACATATTTTTGTATTGTAATTTCTTAACTGGAGATAAATTTAAAAACATTTTATAGATGTAAGTTTACTTGAGGAATGCATTGGATGTGACTTATATTAATGATTAAAACGCAAGAAGTTCAAAAATTCTCTTACCTGGAAATAAATTAAGCTTTAAAACATATTTCTTAATTTACTGATACACTAAAGCGGATACGTTTACTTGAGTTAAGTGAGTTTGTATGGATGTTTTATATCCTCAAAGAAAGGATTTGAAATATTTAACATAGTAAAGGCTGTCTGTCTACCAACATCCGAGGTGTGAAAAATCATTCAACATAGATTTTATTCCAAGTCCCTCTTGGCATGGATCGACCAAGGCGATTTGGTTAGGATCTTTTTTTGTTGCTGTTTTTATTTGGATATATATTCTCCAGCAAAAATAAAAGTTACTACTACGTAGAGAATTAAGCAAAATATTGTCAGATCTTACGCTTACTCTGAACAGAACAAAAATAAAGCAATGTGGAGAATTTTCTGAATGTAACTCACCTAACTGTGTAGTATATTTAGAGGTCAGATAAAATGTCATTTGTAATCTGAAAATATTTGACCTTCAGGATATGATTAGATCGTATGATCTGATGGTTATTAAGTTCTCCTCAGGGCAACAGAAGCTTGAAGCAGGTTTTCTATGTTTTAATTTTAATGTTACTCTGCACAGTGCTTCTTACCACTCATATTTGTTTGAATCTGGATGTATCCTGGTCACTGGAAGTCACCGGAAGGCTACCTTCCACTCTAAGGGTTCTAGTCAGGTACTATATTAAGGATTTGTATTTCATCTTGAACATCAATCCAAAAGCTTGTCATTTGCAGATGACGCGGATGCTGTTGTTCGATATAAAATCATTCGCCAAGCTAGTTTGATACTTACTTGAAAAAGCTCTTGCTCCTTACCACCAGCTGTGTCTACCTATGTCGAAGATACAGAAATCTCAATTTTATGTCAACTAAACATTTGAATGCAGTAAGTTTGAAACTAAAATTTCTAGATAAGTTTGACAGTATTTCGACTAAATTTCGTAGCATCAAAGATTAGGGCTTTTTTCTTTGGATGGAATTTTTCATAAGTGAAATAACTATTTTCTTAAAATGTTCCCCTTATAAAACCTTTCTTTAATTAAAATTAAAGCATTGTTTCCTTTCCTAACCTAAATTTGAGTTTGTTTCAGTATGAGATCTACAATGTATTTACGACGCAGGAACAGCGAAGACTGTTGAATTAAATTGAAATAAACTGTCGATTCAAGAAATTTCGAGGCTCATTAATTGTCTCCAATATGTTATTGTTGATTATTTAACAATAATTGAATTATAAGGCAAGAACAAAATTACAGTTCGACATTTGGTGTTGCCGTTAACTCGAAATATGTAGATAGATCCCACATCAAACTAGCAACTTTGTTGCAAGTATTTTACAAATTCATTCTTTTATAGACTCAAAAGTCTTTAAATATACGGTATAGTGCCTTTTGGTAAGAATGTAAACACTTTCTTTATCGAAAAATAGAATGCTACCTTTATCTGATAGATTAACATAAGCAAGAATGGTTTGACTGGGCAGAATATCACATGACATGGACTAAAAATTAGACATAGATGTGTGAAATGACATTTAGACTAGACGAGTCCTGTTTCAATGAAGCATCTGGCATAACCTCAGAAAAATAGATTGAAATTTGATTAAGAATGAACAAAGAGTTAAAGGTGTAAGCCATCTGGAAATAGTTTAATACAAACAGTAAAAAACAGTGTTACTCATTATTCGTAAAAGTGTTTTTATATCGCGCAATATATGCAATTTCGCAAGAGTACCTTTTACTACTTTTTAACATTTAAGTGGCTCTTCATTTGAATTTGAAGTAAATAATGCTTCATTTTTCAATAAAATTTCTATCTGTATCTCATTTTTTATTAATAATATTCTAGCAGTAAACTGGCAGTTGAACTGTATGTTCTTCAGATCTGAATTTTGTGGAAATTATTTAGACAAGATTAGCATAGGAAACATATGAACATGGACAGCATTATAAAAATGCTGAACAGACTTTACGTCCAATGCCCAAAGCAAGGAAAGGAAGTTCACTAATATGTAGTTAGAATCTAATAAAATAAACCAACACGCATTTGAGATTTCATTAAAATTGACATTTTCATTAGTTTTTTTTAAAAATTTTATTACGTGCTCCTCCATTTGGCACTACAAGAAAAGAGAGAATGTCCTTGAAGGACGTTTTAAGGGAAATTGGCTTGTATCCAAGTTGCACATGGGAAAAACCACGAAAATGCACATGGGGGCCAACCTGTTCTTCGGAACTCGAACCCGGACCGAACTTCCTGTGTTCAGCAGTTTTCACCTTCTTTTATTAGATGAATAAAGCATTTGAAGCAAGTTTATGAATGTGCTCATGAATGATTCTATCGTTTTTTACAGAGGTTTGAATTAAATTACAGTTGCTCCATTTCTATGCAAGAGCACTTTTTACCGCTGTTAACTACTTAATTTAACTACTACTAACTTTTACCGCTACCAGGAAAGAAAACAACCAAAGATATAAATGCTGTCCTATCATTTTAGAACATACCTCTATAGTTATTTCAGATCTGAATATTAGCTATAAAGTTTGAGAAACAAAGATTGAACTTTTTTTTTACTTAAACGCTTTTTTTCTAATGAGTGAGGCATTAATCTTATGTCCACGCAAACTTCCGCGGTTATTTTCTTAAATTTTCTGAGGTTCCGCGAATGTTAAATGCTTCACAAATATCGAATGATCTTCAAATTCGAAAATTGGCACGAATCCAAAATCCACCAACGGTCTAATGGTAAAAATAGTTTAGCTTAGGTATTTCTATCCACGGTCAAATCCCGGCATTCGTGCTGGTTGTATGGAAGTTTTCGTAGCTTTCACTATATGTAATATGAATGGATACGAGCTAGCATCCATTATAAAGTTCTACAAGAAGACATCCCTCTCGTTAGGCGGATATCCATCATGTGTTTTACTATAATCCAAGCACAAAAGTAATCCAAAATTCGAATCAGACATTTGATTCTTGAATTATTTCTCAGTCTCAGATTTCTGGATTATGAAAGACAGGCTGCTTTTCTAAGTAACGAAAAATTTTTTTAGTTTTCTAGTACCAACACACAGTTGCGATGCCAAAACATCCTTTACCCGAATTTAACGGGCTTTTAAGAAAAAGGAAAATTGTGAATGTATGGTACAATATATTAAGACTCCTTCCTCATGAATAGAAATGGTGATCTTTCATAACGGTGTTGATTATGGATATGTTGGCACGTTAATTTGATTTACATTATCACGTAAACGTTATTTATTATCTTCGTTACTACATTTTATTATTTATCAATAAAATACAGTAACAAATTTCTTTTTTATTTTTATTATTTATCAATTTACGTTATTTATTATCTTCGTTACTACATTTTATCACGCAGTTTTTTACGTTAGTGCAAATATATCTAGGCCTCACAGTTTTGCGAAATTTTTTGATTTCTCAATTATTTTGCAATTGCCCCGCAAATTTTGCCTTTTCTTTTGAGATACATTTGCTCCTTTATTGATGTTTTCTTTTGAATCAACCAAATCTCTTGTTTCTAGTTTCGAGCTTTTATCCACATTCTTAGAAAACAAAATCTATTGTTTTGCAGCAATTTAAAATTGAGTAATCTCCGACTAAAAAAGGACTTTTATTATTAAGACAAATGTTATCTGTTTTGGATTTTCTGCAACATTAGCCTTTCTTATTTTATTTAGTTTGAAGTTTACATTAAGTATAATTAAAATAATCAATATCTGCCATTTTTGTTTTACGCTGTGTTCCTTCAAATAAACTGATTTCACGCTTTGCTTTGCAAAGCCGTGCGTATCCGACGGAACTGCTAACAGAGTAGTGTGATGCAATAGAATAAAGAAAAAGAGCATTTTGAGAATTACCTTTTGAGCAAAACTTGATATGTATTTCTATCGCACCTGGTAACTTATAGATAAATGTATTTGCTTGTTTTGAAGACAATATCCGGCAAAACACGATTTCAGAGGTATTTTAGCAGCATATTTGTATCACATTTATCTATTGCCTTTCATGATATATAAGTAAACAGTTATGCTCAATAACACGTTAAAGTGATAAACGTTACAAGAAAACACAAATGACAAGTGTCTTTGAAAGACAACTTAATATTTTTTAATTCTTTTATACGAGATGCTTAGCTATAAAAGAATGTTACTTACGAATTAGTGATTTTTATATTCTACTTGAGGTAGGAACTTCTTGAAAACAAGCAGCCTGGTCAAAATTAATATTCTGAAAATTCACTGAAGCATGAATGAAAAGTTTCAATTGAAAAAACAAACAAAAAAAGCCATTTAATTCCAAAATTAAGGGAAGCTTGTTAGGAATGACACTCTTTCGGAATCCAGTCCCGTTCTCTAGGAATTCCCAACATTCCAAAAGACAGGCATTTATATCCTTGGTAAGTGACCCTATTCGCATTATATTCCACGTCACATTATAAAAAACGCTTATAAGGTATTTCTCCCGGCATCAAAGCATGCCCTCGTGGTGTAGCGGTCAGCACGCTCGGCGCGTATTCGAGAGGTCAAAGGTTCGAGTCCCGGCGAAGGCATTGCTCATTTTTCATGTCTCTTGCTTCGAAATAACCTAAGGTTTCTATAGTGGAGCCCGAACTAAAAAAGGTGCTAGATGATGTTGCTCCACCAGGATTTGGCGTTGGGTCCCCTAATGCCCAGTCGTTCTTTAAAAGGGGAAGTATGTAAGGTATTTCTCCCGTTTTCTTAGCATGCCTTCGTAGTGTTGTTGTCTGCACGCCTGGCGCGTATTCGAGAGGTTCAAATCCCGGCGAGGACAGTGCTCATTTTTCATGTCTCCTGTTTCGAAATAACCTAATGTCTCTACAAGCTATTAAAATATTTTTCTCTTTCCTTTAGCATTTTTGCAAATATGAAAAAATGGAATTTAAAATATATTTTTCAAGAGCACTGGTGTTAAAATCGTTTTTAAATATAAATATAAAGTTGACAGGACTGATATTTGTTTCCTTCATCGCATTCTTTCTTCTCTTTCAAAGTTGAAAAGTTGTTGAAAGTTTAGAAGTCATATTTTCTGTTCAATAACAGAGAATTATAGTTTCCTAACTGGCATCCAGAACCAATCAGATGATGTTTCATTAAATTTTCAAAGAATATTTGAAGATTTTGTTTTTATATTTTAAATATTTTATTAATTTTTTACGACATTTTGCTCTTATCATAAATTTTCGATTTCTTTCTGTTATCACTGCTACTCTTTCGTGATTTTCTGATAACATTTTTCATTATTTTCACCGAGGATTATCGCTGTATATCAATGATGTTTACAGATACACAGACCAAACGCAACTAAAAATTTAAATTTTAAATAATAAATCCTATCCACATTAAAAGTAAACAAGAAAATATATAAAACATAAATTAATTTTACTGATATTTTGTTGTGCAAAATAAGCTGAAGCAATGAAACAGTTATCGTTGTTTATTTTCTTGGCAGCTGAACCGTTCAGTATCTTCAGGATTACTGAGCTCGGGAAACACTTCTTTGATATCCGAAAAATATAAAATTTCGACCAAGGTTTAAACCAACCGATGGCTGGTTTTAACAAATAAATGACATTTCTTGGTAACATGAAAGATTAAAAGTTCCTAACTTGATAAATGTTTGATAAGGAGTATACTATATATAAAAATATGGAAATGAACCCTATCATAAACTGCTAAAATATCATCTACTAAAATATGTGAGGAGAGGTTTATTAGTTATAATAATTTAATCATTGAGATACCCTATGGAAACGTCAGTTTAAACTGTGGTTTTCAGCAAAATGTCTAC